TCGCCCAGAGCCGTTAAACGGCTGTTCAGGTTTTTAAAAAAAAATATAATGGGACCAAGAAACCGCCCAGGGCGATTTTTTGGCAGTTTTTTAAGGTGTTATTTTAATCTTTTCTGATGCTAAAAGTTTTGATGTAGTCATTGACTAGACAAGAGTACTGATGTTTATTGCGACTAGCATGAATGGGCTAGCTTCGTTTTGACAATGAGCTGTAAACAAATCACTGTAAACAATGTTTCAAAGCTGTTATCGCTGTAAACAATGTTAATGTAATTTTTTGGAGAAAGATGTGCAGTCTACTTTTTAATCCAGCTAGAAAAAAGATGTATACAATTTTAGATTAGCTTCTGCAATAATTTCTTTCATTTTGAGTGGTCCAACTGCCGGTCTTGAAAATTGGCGTAGGTGGATTTTTCAATGAAAATATAAGCCTCCCTTAAAATATTTGATGATAATTTTTTGAAAAATTGAACCCTAAATAAGAGCCCAGCAGCCGTGAAACTGCCCAGGGCGATTTTTCGGATGGGCGAATTTACGACAGAATCCAGTAATTTTACTGCGCCATTACCGTTTTATTTTATCAAGTCTCATTCGTCAATCTGCGCTGGATATGGAGAAACATGCACAGGTTGTGTATATTTTTACTACTGGCATTTGGTACATAGTGCATGTATGCGTTCGATGCATGCATGTGGTTTTGAACTATAGTAAGGGAAGTAGGGTACATCTGATAACACCTAAATCTAGAATTCATGTATATTTTTTAAATTGAATTTGAATATGGTGGTGACTTTAATTTAGTATACTGTGTAATTATTCACTGGTTTTCAATTTTCCTATTTTTCGCCAATATTAAGGTAGCGGGACTATTATTTGCATACTTGTTTTCATCTTCTAATCGTGACCAAATGACTACAAATAGACCCAGGAAAGTATATATTTTTAGAATCGCCAGACTTCAAGCTTTTCAAAAATGTGTTTTACATGCCCGTATCTGCATTCTACGGTGCGTTACTTATTGAAAAGTGGAAAATTACTTTTTTTGTAAAAAAAATAATTACGCATTTATGCTGGTGACAAGAAGGTTTTTGTTCACTTTTCCTAGTTGTTCAATAGTCTGGTAAATTGAATGTGTCTGGTTAGTTTTATTCAAGCAACGCGTTTTGAAAATTAGTGTCCTGAATTTTAATTTCTGTTTTAGTCGCATTGCCCCCAACTCAAACCACAACACATTGGTAAATAATCCATGAAATAGTTTTTCTGGGCACATTCAAGTTCCTCTCATTATCACCTTAAAGCTGTAAAAATTTGGTGTTAATCCAACGACAATAAGTATACGTTATTTTTTGTTAAAGACCATGTATTTTGAAAAACATAAACTCCTAGAAAACGTCGATGAAGTCACAGCAAAGATTTTCAAGCTTGTTTATCTGCACAAACGATTTATTTTCCCATCAAGGTTTGTTTTAACATGTGTAGGGACATCCAAATGTGTAAGGCTATTGGAAACCAAAAAATAAAGGAATGGGATAGCTATAGTTCAATAAAATCGCCAGATGAAAACACCAAAATCAATGATTTTTTTCAGTGGCTGTGTGCCTTGTGTCTGACACATTCATATGCAAATGACTAATCTGTGAAATAAACAGGGGCGGAGACAAACCACTCAAATGTTTGGAAACACTCATTGTGTATTAGTTGCGTTCACGCACAGCTCCTTAGCACGGGCTAAGAGGTCAAATTCCTTAGCCCGTGCTAAGAAAACGTGCGTGAACGCTTAGCACAGGCTAAGGAATGCTAAGTACAGGTTAAATCTGATCCGAATTTAAGACGCGGTCTAGACCTTAGCACGGGCTAACGAAGTATGCGCGAACGCTTAGCCCAGGGCTAAGCGCCCTCTGCGGCGACCTTTGGGTGTGAAAATTGTCCCATGTTCGTTAACATGGGACACTATTTTTTGACACTATTCCACCAGTCATTACTCCGCACTCGCTTCCACACTAATCGGGTCACTGTAGTAGTAGAGCGTACAGCAGCTCCAATCGTAGACAAAAAAAATTTGGTTCGCTGTCTGCGACATGCAATAATAAAACTCTGTATTCTGTTACGCCTCGTTGTATACTGTTTATGTGCATCCAAATAAGTTGGGTCAGTCTTCTCTCGCGTTCCTGTGCACGTCGCTTCAAATTAG